TATATTCTATTCTATTCTGTATTCTATTCTTATTCTATTTTATATTCCATTCTACAGTATATTCTATTCTATTTTATTTCTATTCTAATTCTATTCTAATTCTATTCTACTCTACTCTACTCATTCTATATTCTATTCTATTCTACTGTATATTCTATTCTATTCCACTCCACTCTTATTTTCTAAAAAGGGGTTGTGGGAAGTACACCCCCAAAAGGACAGTGCCAGAAACCTCACAGCATCAGAAACCTCAGAAAACAATGCCAAGAAACTCAAGACAGCCCCCTTCCCTCTTTAAGAAAACCAAGAATCACCAGCTGAAAGAGAAAAAAAAAAGCTCAGAGCAGCCCTGCTAACAGAGCCCACAATAGAAACACTTAAAGTAGAGCCATTAAGATAAGGAGAATCAGGCTAAAAATAACTCACCAAGGCAAAAAAAGGGAACTTCCCTTTTTTCTGCCCCGACAAGATTAATCCCCCAGGATCAGAAAGACAAAGGTCCTGGGAACAGGATCAATCCATTAAAGTAGGAAGGGGGATCACTTAAGAGGCACACAAATAAACCCATCAAGCTGCAGGAACTTCGAAGCATAAAAGGCTCATTTCCCCCCCCCACCTCTTCCCTCCAAATCTGCTTGCAAGCCAGAAACACTGGAGTTGTGTCACTACTTTTTTTGCTTTACTGAATTAGATCATTTTTCTTGGTAGCTGGCTTCCGTGTCTATTTCTTCTCAGCATCAGTGACTGCTTCCCAATGAACTCAGGAAATGAACTCAGGAAATTTCTTCCAACGGGGTTATAATTTGTTCATCTTTCCTTTCCCCGCAGTTTAATCTCACCTAACATAGAAATTATTTAAAAGAAATTTGGCATTCTCAGTATTAAAGGCTTTGGGGGGGAAAACTGAGAGCAAACACATTCTGTTTAAAAAAAAAAAATCCTAGCTGGGATTAGCCAGCTTTCTAAAACAGGGGTCTTCACACTTGACAGATTTAAGACTTGTGGACTTCAACTCCCAGAATTCCTCCCCTCCCTCATGTTAGTTCAGGAATTCTGGGAGTTGAAGTCCACCAGTCTTAAACTTGCCAAGTTTGAAGACCCTTGTTTTAAAACAGGGGTCCTCAAACTTGGCAACTTTAAGACTGGTGGACTTCAGCTCCCAGAATCCCTCAGTCAGGAGAGCTGGCTGAGGAATTCTGGGAGTTAAAGTTTACAAATCTTAAAAGTTGCCAAGTTTGGAGAGCCTTGTTTTAAAAGATCCCAAGGAAACACAGCTGTTCTTTAGGCCAGTCTCAGTGAAGAAATGGTTATGGTTATTTTTATGGCCGTTGCACAATCAGGCAGAATTCAGCCTGGTTTTGCCTTTTTTTATCCACCTATCCAGGCCTAGGACCTGGGATAGGCCTATGGTGTTGTTTGGTGGTGTTAAAGGGATCGTCTCAAGATGTAAGCTGTTCTGCATAAAGCTGCCTTTTGCAATTGACTGATGGTGATTTTTGTGGATGCTGACGGTTTTCAAGTGGTGCTCCAGATGTTTGGGGACTGCACCCATTCTTGTTGTTAATAAATATGCATTGGTTATGTAAGATATGTATGTGTTTATAAGGAGATGTGTTAATGGTGTGTAAAATGTTTTATTTGTTTTGTTAAAATTTACAAATAACTTTTAGAAAAGAGCTTTTATGTTCTTATGTTTTATGTTTTGTATGTCTTTAAAAATTAATAAAATTTGTAAAAAAAATAAATATGCATTGGTCGCCTATCTCCCATGGACTCTGGACTCCTTTCAGAACTGGGAGCACATCTGTTTAGGAACCCTGGAACTCAGACTGTCTTAATTCAGTGATTCTGGGAGATTACAAGGATATACTCATTTTTTAGCAACTGCATGGAGGGAATTTGCAAATGTATTCTTCAGCAATACTTTTTTTTTCTAAGTCTGGAATTTCTGGACATCTCCCACCTAGTTATTAACTAGCTTGCACCAGCTGGGATATTTGGGGGGAGATTACCTGAAAGATCTGGCTGGCTAGATCAATTTATGGAGGAAATCAGAGATAAGAAGAAATAATTTATTGAAAAGGATCTTGAGTTTCTCCCCCCCCCCGCCCCCCCAAAAGAAAAGTAGACATTGACCACATTCACATAATATCTTTAACCTGGGTTATCAGTTTAACCACTTCCTGGGTTCCCCCAATAGACTGAATTGGAGCCTAACTAGGCCTGCACAACATGAAAGCCACCTAACCATGTTTTTTTTTAAAAAACCCTCCCTTTTTACAACCCTGTAATCCCTTAATTTGGGATAAAATTGGAGTTGATTGGATGAGGTTGAGAATTTACTGGCTGGATGCCCTTCTTAACGCCACACAGAGTTTGCAGCAGATACTTTCTCTGTGTGCGCTAGGAGAGAAATATCTGCTGATACCTAGGATTTAACTCTCAATCTTTTGAGTGGAATCTTTCGTGCCTAAGGCAGAACTAGAACTCACAGTCTCCTGGTGATTGGCCCAAGTCACCCAGCCAGATTTCATGTCTAAATTGGGCCAAAGTCACCCAGCTGGCTTTCATGCCTAAGGCGGGACTAGAATTCACAGTTTCCTAGTCATGCCTAAAGCAGAACTAGAACTCATAATCTCCTAGTGATTGGCCCAAGTCACCAAGCTGATTTTCCTGTCTAAAGTGGGATTAGAACTCATAGCTTCATGATCTCCAGCCTGAAGCCTTAACCATTAGGCTAAACTGGCTCATACCGATACCCACCCTTCTCTTCACCCTAGTTGTGACCTGGGCCATGTCAATGAACAAACCAGACCAGATTCCCACCACCGTCTATGGCTTAGATAACACACCAGACACTCCTTGGTTTACAATATAGCTCTATTTGTACTCTTTTCTGTAATTAAATTAATATAGATAGATAGGTATAAAAAAAAAAATCTTCGGTACATACACACAGCCATCTTTCTTTCCTTCTCCTCTGCCTGCAGACTCCATCATGAGTGGGTTCCACAGAGAGAGGAAGGCGGAAGGGAAGAATTCCAGGTTCTGGCAGAGGGAAGGAAATGGGTTGCCTGGTTCAGTAGTTCAAGAAATCCAGTGTTGGTTTTATTCAGGCCCGACCAAGAACACCACCCCACCCCCTCAAAAAAATCCCACCCATTATTTAGGATTTCTCCCTACAAAGGGGACTAGCCATACATGGTACGGCTGGGTCAGCGCTGAAGGTTTGGAGAAGAAGATTCAGAACACGGGGAGAGAAACCCAGAGGCTTCAGCACAGCTGACCAAAGGTGCTCCACGCGTGCCGAAAAGTTCCTTTTTTTCCTTTCAAACCTGAACATCGGAGCATGGGGACGAGACTGCGAGGAAGACCGATGCTTCCCCGGCTGCTGAGAACCAACGAACGAGGTCTTCAAGGATGCTCGGAGGTGGCCCGAGCGAGATGAGGGCTGCAAGGAGGTAGGGAGAAGTTGAGATGAGAATGGGAAGGTTAAGTCTGAAATCAACCCTGAGACCAAGGATGGAGCAAACGGGGCACCGGGGAGCCCAGCTTCAAGGTTTCGGAAGGCAGTTCTCCAGTTATTCCAAGGAACCGGCCGTCCTCTTGAAGTCTCCAAAGCTGGAATGTAAAAGGCATCCTTAAAAGAGGCCTAGCTGCAAGAGCAACAGCGCAGGCACGGCAATGATGAACCGTCTCTTGGTTGGCAGGCTCTTCACACCCGTCGTCACTGGTACTTGTCGTCACTCTCGGAAGGGCTGAACTCACGAGGGATGGAGTGTCGCTGCCGCCGATCCCACAGCTGGTGGATTTCGGTGGCCTCCATGTCGCTGCTGCTGGTTGTGCTATCCCGGAAGCTCGCCAGCGGAGGGCGCACCTTCACCCCTTTGGCGGTGACCGAACCCTCAATGGCTTTGCGCAGCTGGAAGAGAGGAAGAGGAAAGGATGAACCGTGGTGGCGCAAAGGGTTAGAGCGCAGTCCTGCAGGCTACTTCTGCTGACTGCCAGCTTGCCTGAAATTTGGCAGTTCGAAATCTCCCCAGGCTCAAGGCTGACTCGGCCTTCCGTCCTTCTGAGGTGGGTAAAATGAGGACCCAAAATGGTTGGGGGCAAATATGCTGGCTCTGTAAACTGCTCAGAGAGGGCTATTGTAGGAAGTTAGCAGCCACCCTTCTCCTAGAAAAAATGAAATATCCCAGGAAATATTAAAAAGGCAGAATATTTCCCCTAAAAGTGAAGTAGAAACTCAGAAGCAGAAACTCACCTCAGAAGCAGAAGCACACACACCCCACACCCCACCTTTGCTAATGGGCCATTGCTCTAGCCTAGGCCAGTCTATTTTACATAACAAAGATCTACTCCAGGTAGAGCTATAATAGGAATTGCCCAAAGCCCTTTCATTACATCATCATCCAGCAAGGCTCAACCAAGCCTGGGACTCAGGACAGCCTACCCAGTTGCCCCTGCATGGCCTCATGGGAGTCTTACAACCAATCAGAATACAAGTTCAAATTCAAATCTCAACAGAGGATATAAAACCCAGGCCCTTTCACCCCTTCTCTTTCTCCTTGATCCTTTTTCCTTCATTTGTGAAGCGTGTGATTGTCCTTTTCGCTCAGGAGCTCCAAGCCGTGTGGGGTCCTGCTGCCCACCATTAAACCATCTTTCCAAACAGCCTCCATGTTTCCAGTGTGTTTTTCACCACTTGGAACTGAACCCAGATGGATCGTTCTTCCAACACTGTAAAAGGACTGTGAAGCGGTATATAAGTCTAAGTGCTATTGCTATGAAAGGGGACAGCAGCATTCACCCAATCCATACAGGTAGTCTTCGACTTAACAACAGTTTGTTTAGCGACCGTTTGAAATTAGAACGGCACTGGAAAAAAAAAGGGACTTAGGATCACTTTCCACACTTAGGACCTCTGTAGTTATCTCCCATGGTCACGCGGTTAAAATCCGGCCTCTGGGCAACTGACTCATATTTATGACGGTTGCAGTTTCCCCAGGCAATGCAATCCCCTTTTGCGACCTTAAGTCAATGATTCACTTTACAACCATGTTACTAAGTTAACAATTGCAGGGATTCATTTAAAGACCGTGGTAAGAAAGTTCATAAAACGGGACAAAACTCACTTTAGCAACAGAAATTTTGGGCTCAACTGAGGTCATAAATTGAGGCCCACCTGTACTTATCTATTCTGACCAGATAACTGACATCCTAAGAGCCTTTTCTCACCAAGATGGCCATAAAACCTGCTGGACTTATGACTTCAATCAAACCAGATCAGCATAGTGGCTGCTATTGGGTGAAAATTGTACTAGCTGAGGTTTGTAAGCTATTGTTCTGACCCAAACCTGGTTCCAAGGAAGCAAACGCGAGACAAAGGTAACAGCACAACCTTTTAATGCTTCTTTACGAATCCTGTTCCTTCACGGGTAAAAGGCTGCTTCAGACCAATTAGCTCCGATAAGAAAGAGCCTTGCCAAGGTTTTGCAAGGCTGCCAAGAACACCAGATAAAGTTACTAAGCAATAATTCCAACACAAAGAGTCTCTCCAAACACCGACTCAGATATTCCTAACGTCCACAAGGCTCAAGTGTAAAACTTCTTTGCCTTCTGCAAAAAAAACCTGTGGTTTCTCAGCTGGCTTTTATCTCCTCAGGGAGGAGCCATTAGCTTGCAGCCATACTCCCGAGTCTTTCATTCAAGCAGCCCTGCCTGCACGTGCACCGGGCACAGGCTCCTCAGGGTGCTCTTCATCATGGCTGCCAGCCTCCACAATGTCTGAAGGCAGCACTCCGCTCTCTGATAGTCCTGGCCCCATCCCTGCACACCACACGCAGGCCCCTCATCTGAGTCTTTGCTCTCCGGGACCTCAGCCGTCCACACTTGCTGCCAGTGAACCACAAGAGCTATCCACAGTTGCCTTTGGATGAGGTGGGCCAGCCCATAAATTTAGGAGCCATGGTGGCACAGTGGTTAGGATGCAGTATTGCAGGCGGACTCTGCCCATGCTGGCCGGGGAATTCTGGGAGTTGAAGTCCACCTATATTAAACTTGCCAACGTTGAAAATGCTGATACAGGATGACCTTAAGAAACGTTTCTTTGCCGCATATAGGACAAAACCTATGACATTGGGCAAAACCAACACGAACCACTGAAGAGCCACGATTCTTGGGGAGACCCTTCTAAGTGCTACTCACCTCCTTGAGGGACACCATGCCAATCAGGCGCCCGATGCTGGTGACGTAAGCGTGGTCCACTCCCAAGAGGGAGAAGATGGTGTGCGTCTGGAAGAGATAGGAAACATCTCAGCTGGGCATCACAACATACAGAACAATGGCACCCAAAAGCTCCATCCATAGGATCAAATCAATGTAAGGGAGTCCTTTGCCCATGGCACACTGATGCCAACAGTGCAATAGAGGCTAAGTCGAGGACTACCTGATAAATCACCCAGCTGTAGGAAGTTAGCACCCACCCCTCTCCTAGAAAAATGAAATATCCTAGGAAATATGAAAAAGGCTGAATATTTCCTCTAAAAAGAGTAGAAACTCAAGAGCAGAAACACCCCAGAAGCAGAAGCTCACCCTCACCTTGTTAATGGGTGGGCCATTAAGGCCTGGGCCAGAATACTTTACATAACAAAGATCTCCAGGAAAAACTATAGCAATTGCTCAAAAGCCCTTTCAAGTGCATCATCATCCAGCAAGGTTCAACCAAGCCTGGAACTCAGGACAGCCTACAGAGTTGCCCCTGCATGGCCTCATGGGAGCCTGAGAACCAATCAAAATACAAGCTCCCATTCAAATCCCAACAAAGGTTATAAAACCCAGGCACTCTCAGCACCTCAGCCCTTTTTTCTTGACCTTCTTTTTTCACCTTGGAGCATGCGACCGTCCTTTTCACTTTGGAGCTCCCAGGCACGTGGTCCTGTCCGCCATTAAACCATCTTCCCAAACAGCCTCCCTGTTTCCAGTGTCTTTTCCCCCGCACTTGGAACTGAACCCAGAAGGATATTTCTTCCAACAGGACCCACAATCTCTCTACCTTGTGCAAAGAGGTCCGTTCGACCAGCTGGAAGGGAGCCGGATCGATCTTGCAGTTGTTGAAGTTGACCAGCTGATCTAGTTGTCGCTCCTCCCATTCCATAACCTACAAATTCAGGAGACACATTAATGCAGCAGGACTGCTCACATTTATTTATTTTTTTTAGTTGCATTTACTGTATAATATTGATGAGTGGTGCAGTGGCCTAGAGGCGGAGCGGAGCGCCTGCCTCACAATCAGGAGGCTGTGAGTTCGATCCTAGATTAGAGACAGATAGTTCTCTCTCTGGGGCTCAGTGAGAATATATCTGCTGAATATAACTCGGCATTGGGGACGGGAAGGGCATCCGGCTAGTAAACACTCTGCTTACTCAATTCAGTTGCCCAGACTCGACAAGGGATTATGGGGTTGTTAAAAGATGATGATTTACTGTATAATATTTACAATATTTTCCCCTGAATATCAACTGTGCGAGATCCATCGATAAATGATTCTCTCACTCCAGATGGTCACGAATCTACATATAGACAGGGAAGTTGAACTGGCCCTGTGGTGCAGCCAGAGCAGTCTGGAGTTGAACATGCTTAACATGTAGAGATGTTAATAGATTTTAGGAGAACCTCTCCTATTCTTTCACTTCTTATAATATCAGGAGACACAGCATCAATGGTAGAGACCTTCAAATTTCTGGCTTCTATAATCTCCCAGGACTTGAAATGGACACCTAACTTTGGAACCACCCTAAGAAAGCCCAACAAAGAATGTTCTTTCTGCGCCAACTCAGAAAGCTCAAACTGCCCAAGGAGCGGCTGAAACAGTTCTACAGAGGAATGATGGAGTCTGTCATCTGCACCTCTATAACTGTCTGGTTCGGTTTTGCAACCCAACAAGACAGACACAGACTTCGGAGGATAATCAGGACTGTAGAAAAAACAATTGTTACCAACCTGCCTTCCATCGACGGCCTGTATGCTGCAGGAATCAAAAAGAGGGCTGGGAAAATATCTACAGACCCCTCACATCGCGGACATAAACTGTTTCAACTCCTTCCCTTGGGAAGCCACTATAGGGCATTGCCGACCAAACTAGGCCACAAAGACAGTTCCCCTCACATGCATATCATCGCTCTGCTAAACACCTCACTCCCACAGCCTTATGCCTAAGGATATCTATCTATGTAATAGGGTTGTATTGCTATTATCCTTCTCATCCTTCCTATTGCCTACTCCTATTGATATCTTATGACTATCACTTTGTCGTTTGTATCTTATGATTTGTGATTTATCATTTTGTTGCTTATATGTACTACACACTAATAGCTTCTGCACTGGAGACAAATTCCTTGTGGGTCCAATCACATTTGGCCAATAAAGAATATTCTATTCTATTCTATTCTATTCTATTCTATTCTATTCTATTCTATTCCATTCCATTCCATTCCATTCCATTCCATTCTCAATTTTCTATTTCTATTTCTATTCTCTATTTTCTATTCTATTCCTATATGCTATGCTGTTCTATTCTATTCTATTCTATTCTATTCTATTCTATTCTATTCTATTCTATTCTCAATTTTCTCTTCTCTTCTCTTCTCTTCTCTTCTCTTCTCTTCTCTTCTCTT